AATTAGGAGTCTTCTGATACCAGTTGTTCTCAAGTACTTCAGTTTTGGTACTTGATGATCAGAGGCCTATAAAGTACTTGAAAAAAAAAACTAAATAAAAGTAAAATTACATGAACAGAAAATGACTTATTTCACTGATGAGAAAACTACTCAAGTATAAAAGTCATAAAACTGTTCACAAAAATTGGGAAAGTAAAAGTAAAAGTACTTTTACACACTTTAAGAAATAAACTGTTGAATTTRCKGAACCAAACTGGTTCCACTAAACCAGGTTGAGTAAACTGTATGTATATTCTTTGCTCAGTTTACTCAACTAGGCTTAGTGGAACCAGTTGACATGATTTGCTGAGTAAATTCAACACTTCAGCTTAGAGTGCTTTTAGAGTTCTTTAAAGTAAATAAGTAAAAGTATAATTTTAGCTTTAAAATGTAACGAAATAAAAGTAAAAGTAGTTGTTTAAAAATAATTGGTAAAATTACAAATCCTCAAAAAACTACTTAAGTACTGTAACAAAGTAAATGTACTTAATTACTACAAACCTCCCAGAGTACTTACTGAGTTAGAACTTAAACATGACACAATGACTTAAAAACATTTTATCTAGAGCTGTGGTTCTCCATCTGTCGTTCCCCCACCCTAACCCACAATGATTGCTATTGAGAACCAGCTACAAACCACTGTGACTTTCTGGCACCAGCATCCTAACAAGGGAAACACCGCGTTATGTAAAAGAACAAATGTTTATATTTTTTAAACATTTTAAATTTCTTCATTTTGCTGCATTTGATTATTWATTTACAATTGCCCCTTTTCCACTAGTGCCACTTAGTGTAATGTCGGTACAGTTCCAAGCCATTTCCATTAGTCCAGATTCATGGAACYGGCCCTTTTTTAGTACCTACTTCATTGTGGTTCCAAGCGGTCCCAGTCAACACCAAAATATGATGTCAGAACACTGTTCGTCACTGATTGGCTAGGAGGTGGAGTCCATGGTTGCTCTAAGCGGCCTTTACATACTCAAGGAGCCATTTTTTTCAATTATAGCAGTGACATTAGTTGTGTTTCCATCCAATTTTTATTCAAATTTTTAGCAAATTTTTAAATTTCAGAACTTATTCGGCAAATGTCTTTYCATCTCTCATTTTGCGCATTAACTTTTTTTTCCCCGAAAAACCCCAAAACCACCTCCACCAACTGCCCAAAACACACCCACTGGAACTGGACTGGAACGTCAATGGAAAAGCACCCRAAATGACCCGTTCYGACACTGACCGTACCGACACTACACTGGCACTTGTGGAAAAGGGACATTACCTTTGTCTTTGTTTGACTTCTGCATTTTCTGAAGCGTTTTCTTTTGATATTGACTACCACCGGCTGACAAGGTTTTGCACTTAGCTTTTGGAGTTGCTTTAGTCTGTACCAATCCCAGTAGTAAGCAATGAGTTTGTAGGAAAAWMTGCATTGTTCAAAATGGAATGTCCGAATAAACAGGAATTCGCTGGATTTCTTCTTAAAAACTTTATTTTCAATCTTCTGGCTCCAATTAGGTTCACACTACAGCACACAGGCCTCAGGGTAAGACCTTGGACTGAACCAAAACAAAACACATGAGCCCTGCTTTGAGCAGACTCTGCAACTCTGAATATTTTTCTCTACTATAATAATGTACATCTCTTCCTGGTTACACCCMTGGAYGTGTTACCTTTTACGTCAGACGTCARAAYGTAACTCAKTTTTRTTTARACTAAAGAAAGAACACATGATAACACACACCAACTCTTTGTCTGCTTTAACTTACTTAAAATGATCAGAAAGTGTAAAATACAATTCCTTCAARCTGGCTGACTGGATTAGTTTGCACAACATCAACATGACCACTCATTATATGCTGAKGACTCCATGTTGTATRCYATTGGCCCATCCCCTRAAACAGTATTCCAGTCTCTAAAACGAAGCTTCTTGGATATTCAAAATGCTTTTGCAAATTTGAAATTATCCTTGAATGCTGAGAAAACTAAAGTTCAATGGTTTAACTGTAAGAATAATGTAAATCCCTCAACTTGGTCTTCACTACAACAGATGAAACGATCCTTGAGCAGGTTAMAGAGTACAAATACTTATGAATCTGRTTAGACWGTTCATCGTTCTTCRGTCACCACATCACCACACTGCAAACTGAGGTCAAAGAAAAACTTAKCTTCCTGTGCAGAAACTGCTCATCTTTTACATCCTCAGCCACAAAGGTCATTGTTGAAAYGTGTWTTCTTCCTTTGTTTGATTACGRTGATATAATTTATCTCCAYGCTTTCAAGTGAAATCTTCAAAAATTAGATTCAATCTATCATTCTGCCAYTTGATTTGTTACTAATGCTCCGAAACTCACCACTGTCCATTTTACTCAAGTTTACTGCCTTTCCTTGCAGTCTCATCATAATACCCACTGGCTCTTGTTCATTTATAAAACCCTACTAGGTCTTTCACCTCCTTATTTAAATCAATTACTACAACAAGAACCCCCCTCAAGATRTAATACCYRTTCCTCCCAACTTATTAGACTGAAAAYTCCTAAAACCAAGTCTTCTTTTGGCCTTATACCTTCAGTTTCACTGCTGTAAATGATTGGAACTTTTATCAAAATACACTGCATTATTAACACTTTCATTTCTCTTTCTGCTTTTAAACACAGACTGGAAGAGTTTTTTAAAGATTTATGTAACTGTTTTACATAATAATTGAATTGCTGTATACTGTATGTACTGTATATGTTGTATATACTGTATATGTTGTTGCCCTTTCCACTTGTTAAGTGTTTTAGCACTTTCAGGCGAACATTGTAAATAAGAAACTGTTCTTAATGTTTTGCCTGGAGAAATAAAGGTTAAATAACTAAATAAACAACGTTGAGTTTAATGACGTTTAATGACATCCGTGACGCTGGCCAATAATTACAGTCCTTTCCTAGAAAGTCCAGTCCTTGAATCCAGGATTTGT